TGAACTACGACTCGCGAGTCAACCTATGAAAAGCGAGTCCCTGTTTATACGAAAATACCTCAATGATTTGGGGAATTTTACGATTGCCAGGAAATAAAGAAAAGCGGGGGACCACTGATATATATATATATTATTTTATATATATATAAATATATATATAAAATATATTATAAAATATAATATATATATATATAAAAAATATAATATTATAATATATATATAATTTTTCAAAAAAGTCGGTCCCTCTCCCACCGAGGCAGGGTGACCCAAAAAAGAAAGAAAATCCCCCAAAAAAGAAAATACTTTCATCATCATTCAACACTTTCCCCCACACTCACACATTATCACTGCTTTTGCAGAGGTGCCCACAAACAACAGTTTAGAACATATACGTTAAAGATCCCAAAACATATCCCTCCAAACTGCAATACCCCAAACCCTCTTTAAAGTGCAGGCATTGTTTTCCCCATTTCCAGGACTCAAGTCCGACTATATGAAAAATATGAAATAAATATATGAATATAAATAATGAATATATATATATATATTTTATATATATAAAAATAATATATATTATATATATAAATAATTTATTATATTAAAATATATAAATATAATATATATATAAATAATATTATAAATATATTATATATTTAATATAATAAATATATAATAAAAAAATAAATTTAAATATTAATATATTATTTTTAAATTTTTTTTTATTACACACTGGCCGATTCCCCCCAAAGGCGGGGTGGCCCGAAAAAAAAAATTTTCACCTCTTTCCTCCATCAGTCTTGCAAAGGGGCTTTACACTACAGTTTTTAAAACTGCAACTTTAAACCCCCTCCTTCAGAGTGCAGCACGTATTTCCCTCTCCAGGACCAAGCCCGGGCCTGCCGGTTTTCCCTAAATCCCTTCATAAAGTTACTTTGCTCACATCCAACAGCACGTCAACTTTTTAAAAACCATTTGCTCCATTCACTCCTATCAAACACGCTCACGCATGCCTGCGGGAAGTCCAAGCCCCTCGCACACAAAACCCCTTTACCCCCTCCCCCCAAACCCTTTTCCTAGGCCACCCCTACCCCCCCTTCCTTCCCTACAGACTGATACACCTTGAAGTCATTCTTTTTTCGCCCATTCTCTCTACATGTCCGAACCACCTCAAAAACCCTTCCTCGCCCTCTGGAAAACATTTTGGAAACCCCCCGCCCTCTTCCAAATTTCCCAAACTACGAATTCTCTGCATTATATCACCCACACATTGCCCCAACATGAATCTTTTATAGGGTGTAACTGGGTGTAAATGTTGCGGAGGAAAGGCTGGGGGAGTGGAGATGTCAATATAATAAAAGGGGACCCCCGATAACGGACCCTTGCAAAACGGACAACCCGCATGCGGACGCTTTGACCTAAAATTTTTTGCCCCGCTACCCCCAAAAAACCCGCTCAGCGGCCTTCGCCCGAGACCGCCAAAGTGCGGGCCCGACAGCCTCATATGTTTTCCGCCGGGGCATGTTTACCCGCCCGCCCCGCGGGAACATTTAAGCAACAAACGAATATTTTGTATTATTACAGTTTTTCGGGGCTGTTTCTGGAAAATAAGTGACCTGGGCCCCAAGAAAAACTTCTATTTTTAACCCACGAATAAGGGTTGATTCCCTTTGAAAAAGAAGAAAGAGATCATTATAAGTATGAAAAGGGGGTGGGGTAACACCGACCTGGTCAGGTTGTACAAGAAACCCAAAAAAACCATCTCTTCATTGTGGCCAAGAAAACGGCAAACAAGGAAGCTGTTCTTGCCCAAAAATTTAACGTTTTTCGAAAAAAAAAATCGCAATGATGGAAGATGTTGAAACTCTTTTTTGGTGTGGAAAAAATGAAAAACGCTAGCAGGAGAAGCGTCTCTCAAGCGATCATATGTGAAAAGGCTAGGAAGTTGCATGAGGGTTTAATTAAAAAAAGCCTGCAACAGTGATGAAGGAGTGAATTTAAGGGGCCCGCAAAGGTGGTTTAGGATTTAAGAAGCGAGTGGCATACCCTAGTGTAACGGCATGGTGAGGCTGCCCTTCACCCCAAAGCAGCGAAAAAATTTCAGGAATTCAAGGGGTACATAGAAACTAAGGACTGAAACCGAACAAGTGTTTAATTTGAAAACAGGCCTGTTCTGGGAAGAAAATGCCCCAAACAGGACCTACTTTTCCAGGAGGAAAGGGATTTTCCCGGGCATAAGCCTTTAAAGACGGGTTACTTTGTTGAGTGTTGCCAAGCTAGTGGTGATTGCAAAGTTAAGCCTTTTTGTGATCACTCTGAAACCCCCCAAACATTCAGGGAAAAGAATGTCCCAAGGATAATTTGTGTTTTGGGAACAAAAAGTAAGGCAGGGTCACTAACTTTTTTTTTTTAACTGGGTTTAAAAGCATTTTCCCCCCAAAGTCAAAGATTCCAAAGAAAAAAAATTAGAATTAAGTGCCTCCTGGTGTTAGACAATGCCCCCCGGCATCCACAGACGTGGCAGAGCGACTTTATGGGGGGCATGACTTCATTAAAGGGAAGTTTTTGCCCCCAAAACCCCTCCTCTCCGCACCCCTGGGGCCAGCAGGCATTTCCAACTTTAAGAAAATGTACACAAAAGCCTGTTTTTTAAAAGGGTTTGAATGACCACAGACACTCGATGACTCTAAAAGAGTTTTGAAGGATCACTTTTAAAATCCTCAATTGTGTAAACCTTATAGGTAAGGCTTTTGGGGGGATGACTAAAGAACCTTTAACTCTGCTTTTGGGAAAAAACTGTGGCCAAAAGTTAGACAAAAGGGGTTTTTGGGGGTTTGAGGCTAAACCCGAGAGGAGTATACCAGTTAGGAAACAATTGTGGCATTGGGGGAAATCCTGGGGTTTGGGGGTTATTTGGGGGGAAAGTGGAAGAGTTTTGGGGGGAGGACAATGAAAAACTAACCACTGAGAGCTGATAGATCAACTTAAGAGCAAGAGGGGCCCGACCTGGGGAAACTGGGTTTAAAAGGGGGAAAGAAATTGAAGGAATTGCCACTTCAAAAAATTTAAAGGGAAAAGTTGCAAAATGGCCATAGGGACATATGTGGCGAAAGAAGCCCCAGTGACTCTGAAGCTGGTCCTAGTGGCTTTAAAAAAGAAAAGGAAGTACCCCAAAAAGGATTTTCCTCCTCAAGTTTTAAAGGGAAAGGGGGATTCCCCTTCTAACCCTAACACTCTCTCTCCCCCCCTCCCATCCCACAATCATCACCAACTTAAATAAAAGAAAGGTCATGAAATTGGCATGCCTTTTTCATTTGTGTGTACTAAAATTAACATTTTTTGGGGTAAAAAAAAATTTTTTCAGTTTTTTGGGTGTCTTGCACGGATTAATTTTTTTTCCCATTATTTCTTATGGGGAAAATTCTTACATCCCGAACTTTCGCATAACGCCAGCCCTCTTCCCGGGATAAGGGTCGCTATGCGGGGGTCCACGTATATATATTATATATATATATATAATAATTAATATTAATATATATATATTATATATATATATATAAATATAATATAATTATATAATTTTTATTTATTTATTATATATATTTTATTTTTTTATTTTTAAAATTTGGACATATACATAGATGTAAAAGAAATACATGGTTAAGTCAAATCCCAAAAAGCCCCTTGTATGCAGAGCATTATGGCGGGCTTAAATTAATTAAGATTAACTAAGCAATGATATATTCAGGGTAAAAATTATAGTAAACAAATAAAATTAAGCACAAAGGGTATTCAAAGTCGGTCAAGGTCATTTGATGAGCTGCTGTGCATTCATACAAGGAGTATTCTATTGGGTAATGAATTAAAAAAAAAATTTTGATAGGGGAAACAGGTTATACTTTTTTATGAGATACAGTTATTCATATTCATTTATTGTGGGTAGTAATGATTTTTAATGACTTGAATTTAAAAAATATTTTTAAATATATAAATGACAGCAAAAAAAACTTAATTCCATAAAGCAGAATAGAGTATACAATTTACACGGGGTAATTTACCCAAAAAAAATTACTTTACAGAAAGCCCCCTTTTTATGCACAGCATTTCTAGCGCCTTAACTTTATTTACAACATGAGACAAATATTGGGGTTTATTTTAAAGCACATTTGCTATATTTACATGAAAAACGTACCCTTTTGGAATATAATTAAATGTTTTGAGATTAAAACATCTTGAAAAAAGATTTTGGGGATGGAAAATCAGTAAATGTTTATAAGAAAGGCTGTGAGAATTACTCTTCGGGACTGGGTGGCTTGGTTGAGCTTCCCGTCCCAATCACCTGCAGCATTCTCCCTTTGGACCTTTTACAGAGTACTTGCCTCTCCCCTTTCCCTTCCTCCCAGGTGATTCTGCATACACCGCCTGGAGGGAAATGGGGGGATTAGGGACTCTTTATTCCTTGGTAAGTGAAGAGTCCCTTTCACTTCGTTGAATGAAAACTGTATTATCTAATTTATTCAATAAATGATTTGATTTTAAATTTAAATTTCCCAACTGGCTGACAATGATATATATTTTTCCATTAGAGAGAAAACGATGGAAAATTTGGGGTTTTTAGGGAATCAGCCCCTAGCCTGGAAAATAAAGCAGAAGATAAGGTGAAGCAGTTGGAGGCGGCATCACCGGTGGACATCATCTCCAGGCTGGGGGACTGATTACCTCAAACTCCTCATCTTTCACTATTCCTCTCTCAATTGGATTGATGAAGCAAATGGTTGGCGAGACGTTTCCACAATGAAGATACGCAAATAGCTGACTTGGGACTGAAATCATGGAAGAGTTGTTATGCTGTCATCAACTTAAATAACTATTAACGACCAAGAACAGAATGTTCGTTAACTAAGTGAACAAACATTCTGCTCTTGCTTGCGAGTGAAAGGTAACTTTTATTCAGACATAAAGGCTAGAATATGAGGGTTGTTGTTAGGTAGGCGGCGTCTTACCTTGGTAGTCTTGTTGTGAGCGTGGCCGAAGCTAACGTTGTCCTGACTGCACTGGTGGAGCGGTGTCCTAGTCTCACTCACACTCGTCCGTGTGGACACCTCGATCTTGGGCGAGATGATGCCCTGGAGATGATACACAGGATATATATACATCGAGAGGCGTATGTCTCTCTGTATGTATACACCGGGAATTTAGTTTAATCCCTATAATAGCGATGAAACTATTTTTGACTGTTGGTGAACAGGTGATATGCAGCTTTAATAGTCAATAGGCTTGAAGCCCCATTAACCAACATCACTGTGAAGTTATCGGCCGGTTTCCACATAGGTAAGGTTACCCAAAGAAAGAAAGAAAACACATTTACCATTTCTTATTCCCTGGCTTTCTTTTCAGAAGTGCAAGGCAAGATGACCCTCTGAAAGTACACATGCTTTATTTTGTACATCATCTGCAATTTTTCCAAGGCAGAAGTAACTAAAGAAAGAAAACACATTCACTACCACTCAATCCCTGGTTGTTTTCCCAGAGGAACATAGGCACATTATAATAATGTAAATGAGTCACTGAATCAGTCTATCCTTCAGAGTGCAGGCGTTATGCTTCTCGCCTCCACAACTCAGGCTAAGCTAACTAGTATGTTTACCTGAATTCCTTCATAAATATTATTTTGCTCACACTATAACAAAACGTCAAAGGACGCAGTTGTTTTACCTCAATCTGACTATAGAATTGGGTTTCAAGCTTATAAGGTTTCTTTAAAGTCCTCATAATTTCTAAAAATCCTACCCTTGTTGAAAAACAGCCTACAATAAGAAATTCATATATTACGCTCATGTGCGTCATTTTGCGCAAGACGTGGTGGAAGCCTGATCCTCCGTCTAGGAAGTGAGCCCAACTTATGGAAAGCTGTTACCATACGGGAAAGTGACCAAACATATGAAGCTTGTCGCACAATGCCCCAGCTTACCGGAAAGTCCCTGGTGGGTTCCATAAGGAGATCGAGGTCGACACCGGAATAGGAGAGCCTCTCTGCGGGTCTAGGGAAGAGAAGGTCCCTGACGGAGGACTCGAACACCGCCAGTACCGCCTCCCCGGAAGCCTCCTCCTGCACCAGTTCCAGATATACCGTCTCTGCCGCCAGCACCCGCTCCAATACACTTAGGTTGCGTACCCCTACGAACGTCTGCCCAAGCCACAAGTCATTATAATTAGATACATGGAGAAACTTGAAATCCATACTAGTTGCAGCACCTGAAGAATGGGAAGCAACATAATTGATTCAAGAACCTTTCACCAGCATCCAATACCCCTTTAAAGAAAACAACTAAAAGAGGGACCTCTGCTGCAAAAATTGCAAGATTTTAAGAGGAAGGAACGGGTAGGTTAGGGGTTATTGGTGTGGGAGAGCAGTAATGGTAATGACGGGAGGGAGGGTGAAGGAGTGTTAAAAAGTATTATTGTGAGAGTACAATAGTAGTATACACAAGAAAAATAAAAAATCATATATTACGCTCAGCGTTTCGGGAAAGACTTAGGTTAATGAAGGTGAGAGTGAACTTGCTGTGTGTGTTTGAAAATTACGAGAGCTGCGTAACTCACCCTCTCAAACTTGAATTTCTCGTGGTAGAGGAGCGGGAAGACTGGAGGCAGCTTGTTGGTGCGAGTGTGGAAGCCTAGCAGACACACAGAGAGGGAACACCGCCCCCGTCCCGGTAGCCACACACCAGGACACGACACCTGGTAACACAAGCTAACTTCTTACAAATCGTATTTGAACCTTTATTTACACATTTATTATTATTATTATTATTATTGAGAAGCGCCACTCATCCTGTGACTGAGCATACTCCCTTAATAACAGTACACAATATCACCCTGAACAGTTTAAACACTGAGAGATCACACTTCTAGGTGTACATAGACTGAAATCGCAGCTTTTGCAAACACGTCACTGGATTTATGTGGTGGTTGCATGTTATAATATTAACTATATAGGTTGGTTACTAGTAAGCTAAATTACATTATATTAAGTTTATCAAGGTTAGATTAGACTGCTATGTTAGTTTTGGTGAAAATATAAATATGCGTTTGCCACGTTACTTATATATATATATATATAATATTTATATATATATATATTATATATATATATATATATATATAATATATTATTATATATATATATATATATTATATATATATATATATATATATATGTCGTGCCGAATATGTAAAACTGGTCAATTAGCAAGAACTCATTTAAAATTAAGTCCATTCTGAAATTTTCTCTTATACGTTTAAAGATATATTTTTTTTATTAATGTTCATGTAAAATTTTTTAATTTTGCACCAAAAGAATCTTAGAAAACTTACCTAACCTTATTATAACAAGAGCAATTTATTTTAGCCTAACCCAACTAAATATATTTTAAATACGTTTACAGTAATTTAATACTAAACAAACACAATCAAATAAATTTTTTTCGTTAGGTTCAGAATGATTTTGGCGAAATTATTGCATACACAAATTTTCACTTGTCCTTATGGCAAGATGACGTGCTATTTAAGCCAGATCGCAAGTTCTGCCTATTCGGCACGACATATATATATATATATATATATATATATATATATAATATATATATATATATATATATTATATATATATATATATATATATATATATAATATATATATATTATATATACACACACACACACACCAGTGATAAATTAACAATCACTCGACTTTTTTCACATATGTAGTCACATGTTTTATACTGATTTTTCCATATATACATATTAATAATAAGGCAGTGGGTTATTCTCACCGCATGTATGTCGATTTCCGTGGTAAGTTTGAGCGCTTTTTTGGCAATCTGAGGCATGACAGCTGCCTGTGTGTTCTCACACTAGTCAGTCTCCTCAAACTGCTGCTGGTTACATCCTAGCGTAGATACATGTAACATAGTAGCCTCTTCAAACCACTGTTATATCCTAGCTTAGACACACGTAACATAGTAACCTCTTCAAACCACTGCTTGTTACATCCTTGAGGAGACACACATAACACAGTATCCTCTTCAAACCACTGCTTGTTACACTTGAGGACACACATAACACGTATCCTCTTCAAACCACTGCTTGTTACATCCTTGAGGAGACACACATAACACAGTATCCTCTTCAAACCACTGCTTGTTACATCCTTGAGGAGACACACATAACACAGTAGCCTCTTCAAACCACTGCTTGCTACATCTTAGCTTAGATATAGTATGTAACATAGTGGCCTCTTCAACTCACTGTTACGTCTTATCGTAGATACTACTATAAAAAGTAGCATCTTCAAACCAGAGCTTGTTACATCCTAGACTAAATGCATGTAACATAATAGCCTCTTCAAGTCAGTTACATCCTAGCATAGATACACAAAGCAGGCCAAGTGTCTATCGACAGTTGCCTTTGATAACTAGTAACTACAACTTCTTACTTCCAGATGAACTCAATAAGCCTTTTCAAATCATCGCTTTTTCATTTCATTCGCATACAGGAAGCCACACATGTAATTTTTTTTAGAGCACATATCATGCTAAATAAAATAGCCAATAGCCTTTACACGAAATACCCAATAAAGCCTCTTGACACACCCTGGCTTGTTTCCCAAAAGGGAATATTGTATTGTAATACAATGAATTTTACATTATTTTGTGTATAACGTATGTTTTTTATGTAATCTGTTTTTCTGAGATAATTTGTCCCATTTTGTCCCAAATTTTAGACATGTCATAATTACTAACTTTTAATGAAAGGCACTGGAATTATTCGTAGCCAAGGGACATATTTCTATGAAGTTATTTAATAGATATGCTGAAAACTGTGCAATATATTCTGAACTTTATTTTAATTACACATTATATCATTTAATAACGAAGCATTTCAAAATCTTTTCTGTTTTTAATACCGATTTTCTTAACACGAATGTATTAGCCACTGGTTACTGTTACTGTTCAACTGTCATGTGGTTGGATTCTGTGATATATTCTGATATAAAACATTATATCTGCAAAGCAAATTGGATATATTATTCTGTATATTAATACAATGAAATTTTACATGTAAAGTATTGTAATAAATCAATTTAATGTGCGCGAGTAGTCGACTAACTCTGTAACAAAATAGCGTCGAGGTGACCCCACATACACACCACCATCTTCACTATATAACAAATACAATAGTCGAACTGTCCCTTACACACTACCATCTTGCTGTATAGCAAATACAATAGTAGCTGAATTGTCACATATATTACCATCTCACTGGAGATGCAGTACTAGTTGAACTGTCACATACACACTGCATTCTCACTGTATAGCAGATACAATAGTGTAGATAAACCGACCCACATACTACTGACTCACTGTTTAACAAAAACAATGGTAGTTGAACTGACCCACATACTACTGACTCACTGTTCAAACAGATACAGTGGTAGCTGAACCGACCAACATACTACTGACTCACTGTGCAGCAGATGAAACAGTATTTGACTGGCCTAAACACACTCATACTAACATCATATTGCATAGTAGATACAGTAGCAACTGATCTGACCCACAGACACTACAAGTAACAGTTGAACTATTGCCTGGCTCCGGCTGGGCTGCTTGGCTACATGCATCCCTGCAAGATTGCATCAGCATCACCAGCTGATGTAAACAACTAAACGTAACTTTGGCAGATGGACTACTGTCACACCCTGCGTCATTATGTGCCGGAATGCGATCAAATAAATGAATTCGGAAACAATTCACTCATAAATATTCAAGAAGTGTCAATAGTATTTTATTCACAGTGGCATATAACTAACCATTCTGAAAAAAATACCCTGGTTTTTACCTGTTGTAAATAACTCATAACCACTTAAATTTGTAAAATCGACGTGCCTTGGTAAACATAAGGTAATATATATAATTCAAAACCACATTTAAACTGCACTGTAGTACTCTTGTTACTGAATTCATATCTGCACAAATAACATGTTTCTGCAATCTTTTGACTACCACCCAAATAATGGGAATGGGGGTGCATAATATAGACACTCCCAGTCGTACATGAACTATCCCACAGACACTACCATTATCAGCTGAACTGTTCCATAGATATTACCAGTAACAGATGAACTGTTCCACAGACCCTACCAGTAACAGATGAACTGTTCCACAGACACTACCAGAAGCAGGTGAACTGTTCCACAAACACTACCAGTAGAAGCTGAACTGTTCCATAGACACTACCAGTAACAGATGAACTGTTCCATAGACCCTACAAGTAACAGATGAACTGTTCCACAGACACTACCAGTAGCAGGTGAAATGTTCCACACACATTACCAGTAGCAGGTGAGCTGTTCCACAGACACAACCAGTAGCAGGTAAACTGTTACACAGACACTACCAGTAGCAGGTGAACTATTCCATAGACACTACCAGTAGCAGGTGAACTGTTCTTCAGATACTACCAGTAGCAGGTGAAAAGTTCCACAGACACTACCAGTAGCAGGTGAACAGTTCCACAGACACTACTAGTAGCAGCTGAACTGTTCCACAGACACTACCAGTAGCAGGTGAACAGTTCCACAGACACTACCAGTAGTAGCTGAATTGTTCCACAGACACTAACAGTAGCAGCTTAACTGTTCCACGGACACTACCAGCAGCAGCTGAACTATTCCATAGACACTACCAGTAGCAGGTGAACTGTTCCACAGACACTACCAGTAGCAGCTGAACTGTTCCACAGACACTACCAGTAGCAGGTGAACTGTTCCACAGATACTACCAGTAGCAGCTGAACTGTTCCACAGACACTACCAGTAGCAGGTGAACTGTTCCACAGACACTACCAGTAGCAGGTGAACTGTTCCACAGACACTACCAGTAGCAGGTGAACAGTTCCACAGACACTACCAGTAGCAGCTGAACTGTTCCACAGACACTAACATGCAGCGAAATGTTCCACGGACATTCCCGCAGCACTGAACTATTTCCCCGACCACTACCAGTAGCAGGGAACGTTCCACAACCTACCAGTAGCAGGTGAAAATGTTCCACGACATACCCGTTGCAGGTGAAAAGTTCCACAGGGGACTACCAAATCCGCGTGAACCAATTTTCCCCAGACCACCCTTTGCAGGGTGAACGTTTAAAAGGGCACAACCCGTTCAGGTGGGAAATGTTCCACAGGGCACTACCAGTAGCAGGTTAACTGTTCCAAAAAGACACTACCTAGCAGGTAAACAGTTTTCCAAAAGACACTACCAGTACAGGTGAACTGTTCCACAGGGCACTAACCCGTAGCAGGTTTAACTGGTTTCCCCAGACCCCAACCCGTAGCAGGGGGGAATGTTCCACAGAACACTACCCGTACGGAAACCCGTTCCACAGGCCCCTAACCCCTAAACAGCGAACTGTTTCCCAGCCACTTAAAAACCCCAATAGCCCGGTGAACAGTTTCCCCAGACACTTTCCCGTAGCAGCTGAAAAATGTTTCCCAGACAATACCAGTAGCAGGTGAAAAGTTTTTCCCCAGAACCCCCAGTAGCAAAGGGGAAAACAGTTCCCCAGACACTACCCAAAAGCAGGGGAACCCGTTCCCACGGGAAATACCCCCTGGGAGGGGGGAACTGTTCCAACCCGCCCCCTATCAGTAGAGGTGAAATGTTCCAAATTCCACAGACACTACCAGTTTGCCGGGAACTGTTTTTCCCCTTCCACAGACCCACCCAGTACAAGGGGGAACTGTTCCCAGACATTTCCTTTGCAGGGGAACTGGGTTTCCCCAGGGCACTACCGTAGCAGGTGAACGTTCCCCCAACACTACCAGTAACAGGTGAAATGTTTTCCCCAGACCCCTCCCCGTAGCAGGGGAACATTCCACGACACACCAGTAGCATGAAAAAGTTCCCCAGACACTACCCCGAGCAGGTTTAACAGTTCCAAAAACACTACCTGTAGCAGGTGAACTGGTTTCCCCAGACACTAAACCCGTTTGCAGGTGAACAGTTCCACAGACACTTAAAAAGTAGCAGGGGAAAAATGTTTTCCCCAGGGCAAATACCAGTAGCAGGGAAAATTCCACAGACACAAACCCGTTTTAGCTGGGAAATGTTTTCCCCAGACACTACCAGTACAGGTGAACAGTTCCAAGCATTTCCCGTGAAGCTGAACTGTTCAAAAACAAATACCCGTACAGGTGAACGTTCCCAAAACACTTTTCCAGTAGCTGGGTGTTAAAAAAATGTTTCCCACAGACACTACCATACCAGGTGGTTTTGTTCCACTTCCCCGGGGCCACTACCAGTAGCAGGTGAACTGGCCACAGAAAACCACCAGTACAGGGGGTTTAAATGTCCCACAGAAACCCCCACCCCTAGCAAGTGAACAGTTCCTCCACACAACCATACCCGGTGAACGTTTCCCCCAGACACTACCAGTAGCAGGTGAACGTTCCAGCCACCCAAAGGTTTCAGGAAAATGTTCCAAAAATACCCGGAGGAGGTAAACCTTTTTCCCAAGCCGGACTACCTTGGCACTTTTTAACTTGGTTCCACGACCTTTTCCCCCTTTCAAGGGAAAAATGTTTCCAAACCCCTTAAAAGTACAGGGAACTTTCCCCCCGCGCAAACAAATTTAAAAAACCCAAAGGGGGGGCAGGTTTTTTTAAACCCGTTTTCCCGGGAAAAAAGGGGGGAAAATCATGTTATTTTAAAACCCAAAACCAGAGGGGAGCCAACTTTCCACAAAACACTACCAGTCAAAAGGGAGGAGAAACCCCCGTTCCAAAAGCACTTTAAAAAAAATAAGGGAAGGGCCCCGCTTTAAGAAACTTGGGGGTTCCCAAAAGGGCCCCCTCCACTTTTAAACGGTGGAAAAAGCCACCAAGATTTCCTACCCTGTGGCCCCGAAATTTTTTCCCCAGAAAACCTTTTTTCCCGTAAAAGGTGGAATGGGGGCCCGGGGGTTCCCCAAACCCCCGGAACAAAAAACCCCGTACAGGTGAAAAATGTTCCCACAGACCAAAATACCCGTAGCAGGG